GTTATTATTTTGAATAAGCGACCTCTATCTGCGAAACTTACATACTATGCCTTTAAGCTACTTCATATTGCAGATTGTATTGTATTAGCTTAAGAGAAAGAATCAGAAACGGTAAGTCAGTTATTACTACACTATTCTGGACTAAACTTGGATGTTTGGATAAAGATATAGGCAGATAGTGACTATTTAGATACATGATAGTGATTTTTGTTGGGAATTTGTGAAGCTATTGGTTAAACTTAACCATTTTAAAAGCTGTATTATGCAGTTTTAAAGACATAGTTGTTTAGTGTACTAAAATAGTTGAATTCTGTATAAAATGGCCAGTGTAATGAAGCTAAAAAAAACGGTCAAAAGTCATTACTATTCCTAACTTTTAATAAACTGAATAAAATATAAATTAACAGCGTCATATTTTACATCTCTCTAATCGAATTGAGCATGCAACATAAACCGCATATAAAAAAATATATATATATGTAGTAATCTGTAATGCTTTTATAATTGCGAAAATATTGTAGCCTATATTTGGCCAAATATCTGGCAGTGCACAACTGCACGCAAAATAATGTACCCACCACTACATTTGTGGGATGTGATGGCACAATAAAGTGATTTCGGTTTGATTCACATTGTTTTTTAATTGTCTCTAGACTGTTTGGTTCTACGTTCTTTGTTGCTATTTGAATTCAATATGTAGATCGTGACATGTCAAACTGGTGCGCTATTTTGTTTGTGTCCTCTAAATGCTTTCCCAATACTTATACATGGTTTCTAGAAACCGAAAGTACTTTGCTTGTGGCGTAATTTTCGTCATCACCACAGTCCTCTTCTGTTCGTTTGTAGCTTGATTTTTTTGGTCCGCGCAGAGACGAGTGATCGAACGCTAGGTAGTGCGCTGCGCATGCGTCGAACGCGTGCAACCATCCTCGCAGCAGTGGCGTTCGCTTTGAAAGACTTGCGAAGACTGAGCGAAACGGAGAAGTTTACCTGGACATTTATCTTATAGTCAATTAATTTTAAAATGTCTACAGCTTACTGAGTTGTAAGAGTAGACACTTGTGTAGTGATAAACAGATTATTGAAAATTATTTTTTAAAGTCTTTTTAGATAGATAGATAGATAGATAGATAGATAGATAGATAGATAGATAGATAGATAGATAGATAGATAGATAGATAGATAGATAGATAGATAGATACTTATAGATAGTGTATTTACTTGCCTGAATTGGAAAGTCATGTTGGTAATCTTCATCTTAATCTCCTCCCTGTGTCGCTGTTCGCCAGTTAATTCATAAAGTTGCTTAGCCATTGTCTCGTAGATCTTAGCATTGCGCTTAGCCTTCTTTAGCTCTGCCACATACTCTTCCCAAATGTACACAAGAGCTTTCATCTCGGAATCCGTCCAGTTACGAGCTCTCCTGTGCTTCTCGCTCGAGCCCGGCACAGTGTAACTAAAGCAGAGGTCCTCAGAGGCCATTTTATGAACAGATTAGATATCTTTCGTTCAGGTTTAGGATTTAAGCTTGGTTCTCTCTCAGTGCAGTCTGTTTTCCAGGCCTTACTTTGCTTTCTCAAGCATGTGCTTGTGTGTGCTAGAGACAGGCCTTTGCTGCCCTTCCCCCCATGCTTAGTTAAGAGGCCTCAAAATGGCACCTCGAGGGCTGGAGCAATCGCTTTAAAAGCTTTTAAAGAGGGAAGTTCGTCAGCATGATGTCAAGTTACCCTGGCAACAGTCTGCTAAGGCCCTCCTCTTCTAGCCAAACCCTTCCCCTTCTCCTCTACTCTTTTGTCTCTGTCACTGCAGCAAAAAGCTTTTAGCTGAAAGCCAACAAAAGTGGGTCGGGCAGGCAGAAAATCTGCATGTGAAATACGACTCCTCTGGGGACTGGAAAACGGCAGAGTGTGCTGTTGCCAAGGCAACCGCTCTATCCCCAGACCACTTAGTCCGAGCGTTTATGAGCTTAAAAGCTTTTAATAGAGAAGAAGCTCGACTAATGTTGCAGAGAAAGTGCATTTGCACCTAATATAATGCCTTTAAAACTACAGGATAATTGATGTATTGAAACAAAAATGATGTTGTTTACATGTCACACACGAAAGCAAGCGATCAGACTGATTTGGCTTTAAACTCAGTCGCAGGGCTCTAAAAAGGTTTTGGAAACATGCACATAAATATCGCATGCTTGTTACTGCATTAAACTAGTTTAGGTTAAAGTAATTACTCCTCTGGCCCTGTGCCCTTTTTTACCACAGTACATTTGCCCCCAAACACTTCCCCCTCTCCGACCTCATGAGTTTCAGATTATGTCCTCTATCACGGACAACAGGGGGTCTCGGACAGGACATTGGGGGTTGTGCTTTTGGGGGGAGGGGGGTATCTTGTGCATTCTTTGACAGATTACCAGCTGAGATGACACACGGTGCATGTGCTTCTTTATGGCTAACTCAGTGTTAACCGCATTATGTGCTTCGCCCATCTGTCTAGACGCATCACCTTCACATTCAACTTCACTCTGTTTTGAGACGTTCCTGACCGAGATGAGCACAGATCTACAATAAGGCCTAGGCAAGCTCGGCTTCATAATCATTCAGTGTTCTGAGCATAAGAAAATATGCAAGAAATGTAAGACTGTTCTGTGCAAGTAACTAGTAAGCGGGGTGGACGATAGTTGATATAATGTTGATATATTTGAACATTTGTATAGATGGGTAGAACGACAGACAAATAAATAGATAGATAGATAGATAGATAGATAGATAGATAGATAGATAGATAGATAGATAGATAGATAGATAGATAGATAGATAGATAGATAGATAGATAGAACGAGACATATGATAGATAAATACAGATAGACAGATGATAGATAGGTAGAATGACAGAATATATAGATAGACGATAGATAGAACGACAGACATGCATACAGATAGATTGATAGATAGAACAGACATACTGACAGATAGACAGACAGATAGATAGATAGATAGAACGACAGACATATATGATAGATAAATACAGATAGACATGATAGATAGGTAGAACGACAGAATATATAGATAGACGATAGATAGAACAGACAGACAGACAGATAGATAGATAGATAGATAGATAGATAGACAGACAGACAGACAGACAGACAGACAGACAGACAGACAGACAGACAGACAGACAGACAGATAGATAGATAGATAGATAGATAGATAGATAGATAGATAGATAGATAGATAGATAGATAGATAGATAGATAGATAGATATAGATCTGATCCAGCGTTATGTAACGTAGAACATTAAGAGCATTAATTATCAGTGGATCTTCTGCCTGGAGAGGAAATGACCTGGTCTTAGGAGGGACCAGATGGTCGGCTAATTTGTGTGATGTTCAAATTTTAATTCAGTGAGGGAGCAGCCCTTTTGCCATATTAATAGTTTCTCTAGTGCATATTTTGGGCCTTTTTGAGAATACTGGTGTAAAATGGCTGTCTACCAACAGTTTTGTCTAGTAGTAATACATGTTTTTTTGGACATTTCAAGAACTATGCAAAATAATTGTTTAATATTGTCCATATTAAATTGATATAATTGAAATGTGTTACATATATTGGTACTGGATCGGTCATAAGCCACAAGGTAATTGCAGCAGGAGTGTGGATCATGCCTGTTATTTTGATTTTGGTTTATAAAACCTTTAGTTAAACATCGCCCCCTGCTGAGTATGATATTTAGTGCCTGACTGACATTAGTAAACTATCCAAAAAGGGCCACATTTTGGTTGAGAAAACAAAACAAAAACTGCAGCCAGACTGACGGGAAAATAAATCCAAACCAGCATTTGCTTTTCTTGAGTACCTTTAATATTTATTCAGTATTCCAGCAGCTATTTAATATGCAAGAGTTGTTTTGTACATTTTATATTATACAGCAACATTAGTTCTCCTAGCTCCATTCTCTGTCTTCACAGTTTTCTGTCCTGGCAGCAATGCCATTTTCACTGTCTCCATAGCAACTATCATGAGGAACTTGGCTGGACAATAAATCAAATCATACAAGTGCAATAAAAGAAATTAAAAAAACTTCACAGTGGAAAAAAAAACCTATTAGCTTATAAGAAAAAAGTTAAAGTATATTATAAAAAAAAAAAAAAAATGATACAAGAAAAATAATTACTCATTTACTTCCACAACATGCTTTTGGATGCAGGGGAAAAAATAATTGTGTACATAAAACATACATACAGCACATCAACTATAAATGTAAGCTTACACATTTGCATGTACATACATGCAGACGTTTCGTCAACAGCTTTGTAAACAGGTCCACCATAGACCTACAGAGTACCGACCAGAAAGGCAACCGGAGACAGTTTGTCCACAGGATAGAACTTCAACAGATTTAACAGGGTAGGTTAGTTGCTCTTAGTAGCCATTTAAAAGGCCAACACCTTCAGCTTTGGAGAATCTAAATCTTATTGGTTCCTAAACCGATGATGTCACAATAAAACACCATAATTGAGCTTGGCTCAGTTTCACACAGTCCCTGTTCGGAACTCTCCGACAGTAAATTCAATCACAAAGAAACAAGTTAATATTTTCACTAAATTTGTGCGTCGTCCGTCCATTGGCCGCCAGTCTCAACGTTTCTTTAATACTGATTAACGAAGCAGTTTCAGTTGAATGTCTCTCTCTCTCTCTCTCTCTCTCTCTCTCTCTCTCTCTCTCTCTCCCTGTCCCTGGAAAGAGATTGGTTCCCATCCCAAAATGAATGACAATACAGGTTTCTCGTTTCGACAATATAAAATAATGTAAGAGATACAATAAAATAAGTACAAATATAAGTGGTTAATGTAAATACTGCAAACATCTCGAAAACTATGTTGTCAAATAAATACCATGGTAATTACTGGAATGTATATGCTAACAAGTGCCACTATGGGGCAGTAAACATTCACGTTTCGGCATCTAAAACTGCAACTGGAGCTTCAAAGTTGGCAACGAGTGGCATCGCCTCTGTGCCGAATGATACAACTACATGCACAGAAGTACCTTTGTTTTGCGTATCCTTCACAGAACTACAATACATTATATGGTGGAGCAGACACCGGGATCTATGTCTGCAGCCCACTAGCGACAAAATCGCACTGTACAAATCGAGTTTTTGTGGGGAGGACGTTAACGGGGTCCTTCGAGTTTTCGAAAAGATAACGGCTCCACCACAATAGCGCGCACAGTGCAATGTTGTTTGTTAACTACAGTTCTTGCAGCTGGCCGTCCCACTTCTGACAGGCTAGTACAGTTTCTTTAGCAGTAGGAGGGCTATTATTGTCACTGAAAAAAAAACGTAGAGCGATGATGACTTATAAACCTTTCAGAGTCCTTAAACTTCGTTTTGTTTTTCGTTTTTTCATTTCGAAAGTGTCTCAGGCATTCTGAGAAACAAGAGCTGGGAATTGAATTCAGATTTGGCAACACTAACACAAAAAACATCCAGTCTTTGTCGTCCGACTTGAATTTTCAGTCCCTCAGACACTCTTCCTCAGTGATGCCTTGCGCCCTCAGCTCCTCCAGGACGTTGTCAAGGTGGCCGGAGTCTGGGTAACCGTGGCCGGTCAGGTTGGAGCCGAACTCGGTCTTGTGATGCACCTCGTTCCAAATGACCGTATCCGTCTCTCCTGTAGTGCTGGATGTACCCACCGAAAAGATGAGCCGACGGTCCCAGGCAACCAGCAGCAGCTTCAGCACCTAAAAGAGCAGGGATTGATTATAATAAAAGCTGAAAAACCTTACATTTCAAGGTTGAATTGGAATATGTACATTAAAGAGGACCTATTATGCCCTTCTACAAAGTCTCAATTTTGTTTTTGGGCTCTACTAGAATAGGTTTTCATGCTTGAATGTTTAAAATACATTATTTTTCATATATTTGGGGCCTAAGCACCCTTTTATATGGTTGTATTTGAGGGACTCTGTAGCCCTTTTCACCTACAGTAACCAATTTTCATACACTTATAGATCTCATCGGGCCAAATAACTTTCGCACTCTTAAGTCATAGGCTTCGGCCAACAGGAAGTCGGCTATTATGGGTTGTTTGAAAAACACATGCTCTGGTATTTGATATACTCCTCCAAGGCGATTCATCTGATCGCCACCAGACTCAGTCAGCATGAAGCCAAGACATTAAGGATGCTAAATTGCAAGCACATTTTTTATATCACGAATGGTTTGGACGTGGCGAGGCAAGAAATGTATGGCGAAAAAAGGGAAACAGGAAGTGTGTTATAACTTCTGCATTCAATGACTGGTTTTGATGAATCTTCAGCTGCGTGTTCGTTGTAGGAGGCTGATCACATTGATGTGACTATTGTGAGTCAAACTCATAGCGCCACCAACTGGCAGCAGGAAGTGTGCCAAAAATGCATTGAAATTGCACTCTTTAACCCAATTTGCTTCAAACTTTGTCAAAATAATGTCAAAACACCACAGGTGTACACCTGTGAAAGGATTCTTGATATCTTGAATACTGTATTCATGGCGATGTGTCAAACTTTAATATTCTTTTTGGGTGTTTTTGAGACACTTAGCATGCTTTAAATTACATGAAACTTGACACACACATCAGTTGTTGGCCAATAGACACCGGCAAGAGCTTAGAAACGGGCGTATAAGCGGGGCTCAGTGGCGCCACCTTTTGACTAAAGTGGGGGGTTAGTTTTATCTATAGTCACCAAACTCGGTACATATATTGTTCTCATTGATCCGGACAACCTTCTAATTTACAGTCATTAGCTTCGACCAACAGGAAGTCAGCTATTTTTGTTTAAATGTGGATTTTTTCAATCAAGCACTGAATTTTTTAACTACTGCTCCAAAGGGCTTCATACAATTTATTAATTTTTACATTTTTTATAATTAATGCATTATGTGCAGGTTAAATATATGCAGATTTTGTGTTATCTGGTTGAAAGAAAGAAAGAAAATCAAATGTAATACATAGTACAACCACTTGATGGAGGCATAGGCCTATTTTTAATGGGGTTGAGAAAAGCCTTGTTGCTGAGAACAGTGTTTTCAGACATAATTAATTACTTTTATTAGCTATTGCATTTGTATATATATAGAGAGAGAAAGAGACACATAAAATACAACTTTCTGTCAATGACTGTTTAGATTTGACTTTTTTTTTTAAATGTTAAATTTTCTGGCTCAACTAACTGGTAAACAGCCTCCAACGTATTCTTTGATCTCACTCTACCTCTGTGTGTGTGAGTCTATTTTATACTCTCGATGGTTTAGATTTAAACCCTTTCATTGCTGTGTGATTCCCCCTGCATTGCAGGATAAAAAAAATCCCTAAGGATTTAGGACAGGGATCGGAAACGCTTGTCCTGGAGTGCCACTGTCCTGCAGAGTTTGGCTCCAACCCTGAAAAAAAAAAAACTCACCTGCCTGTAGCCTTAAGCCCTATTCAGACGGTAATTGTTTCTCATGGTAACGTAATGTATTTTCAACATTTACAGGGGCTAGTCTGTGATTTTATTGCCATCTGAATTCAGAATGTCAGTGTTTTGCTCCAACCACCCACATAAAAATCCCAACTTTTTTGCTTTTTGACAAACACCAAGGTCATGTGGTAATTGAAATTGCCTTCCGAATCCACATCTCTGAGTTTACAAGAAGAGATCACTTTAAAATTCACTGTTTAAATCCTTTTTGACCACTGCGGAGCACCGTACGATAACTGTTGCGCTTCACTGTAATTTGCATGCATTTTACAGATGTACACTTTTATTACTGAAATGCTGGAAAGTATTTAAAAAATGAAAAATTTCATCACCGCTCCACCCCAGCCGAGTGGGAACTGTGAAGAACAATAAGGAGAAAGAAAGCATGTAAACATTTGAAATGGGCTGTTATTGTGGAAGCAATACATGCAATACAATTTTAAAATATGTATATCTACAATTATATACAATAAAAATATAAACCAAGCAGCTTTGTTTACCTTGTGTAAATAAGAGGTTGCATTAACTTATTTTTGCTAATTTCCCATTTTTTCCCATTCTGCTAATTTCCATTTTAAAATGATAAGTCAGAAAACCATTTCAAATATAGCGTGTCTAGCGTTATATAATTGTAGTATTTTCTAGTATATAATATATATATAATTCTAGTATATAATTAAATAATAAATAGGACATTGTTGTCCTATTATTAAATTAAATGTGAATTTATTCTTATTATTCCAAGCATTTGACATTTTATTTACAGCAGACCATCATTCGACGAGTTCCCAGGTTCGTAGGATCACAGAACTCGCTCCTCCACGTGAATAAATCGCCATCCGAAAGCATGAGTTTTATCACTGAGGTGACATGCACATTCCACATTAGAAACAATTACCATTGGAATAGGGCTTTAGTAATCCTGAAGACATTGATTAGCATGTTCAGGTGTGTTTGATTAGGGTTGGAGCTAAACTCTTCAGGACAACGGCACTCCAGGACCGACCTTGCCTATCCCAGATTAGTTTTAATGACAAAATAAAAGCATATAAACAGTTTATTTGTAGTGCATTGATAACATTGTTTTATATAATTAGATTATTAATAAGGTTAATAAAAAATATATTTTTTAAAAACTTAAGATAAATACTTCAGGACTTGAAGCTGCAAATGAGAACTTCACATTCATTTGTAAGTGACCTATAACATCCTATGACATGAAATTCATTTGATCCAAATTGATCATTGATTCAAATTGAATTGAATTGAACTGTGGCTCACGGTCAAAGTGGCACCAGCTGCTGCAGTAAATGTGACTTTGTGCTTGGTAACTTTACAGACCTCTCATGCTTAAACATCAACATTACACTCACAAAAAAGTTGAAAATGTAAAAAAAAAAAGCATAATAGGTCCTCTTTAATTAATAGCAGTAGATGAATGAGATTGCGTTTGCGAATGTCTGGACACTCACCAGGCGGCCTTTCTCACTGTCAGGGAGGTAGCAGTGTCTTGGAAATCCACGAGCTGTGAAGGGCTTCCCAGGGTTGGGATGCTCTGGGCCCTAAAACAATCATAGACCGAGCCGTTTAGACCTACATTGTAGTTATATAACGTATGCATGCAGTTATATAACACTGCAGCAGTGCGATATACGATGTAGGTGGCACAAACGCCAATATGAATGGATGCTCTGGACACTGCAGGGGTTTTTTAACAAGCTCTGTTGTAAGTGAGTGACTCTTACCTGAATGCCAGGGGGTATGTTGTAGATAATCCGGATGGTTTTGCAGTCAGGGTGTCCAGGAAGGGAGTGAGGAATGACGTGGTATTCCATCTTGCCCGGTGGCTGGTTGCCGGTTTTAACACCGTAGATGGTTTTACAGGTGGGACACTGAAGGCTGCCGTCTTTGTTGCCGTTGTTGTACATGGCCACCAGGCACTGCAGGTGGTACTGATGTCCACACTGAGACAGACGACCAACAGACTCGGCCCGAGATATGCCACCGACACCTGGGCCTTTATAGCCAGATGGACCACAGAGAGACTCCATACAGATAGTGCAGTCCTAAGAAATATACAATTTGATAGAGAACAAGAAAACAATTAGTTTAATTCAGTTTAGTTAATCTAAAGAAAGATATCTAATGATATATATTATATCTTAATTATAATTCAAAATATCAATCATGTTTGTCACCTCCTCAGGTGGGTTGCGGACTTTCTGAAGATATCTTCTAACAACTTCTTCTGAAGTTCTACCTGCTCAAATGAAAGAAAAAGTAAGTTAAAACAAATGAGGATTTAGATAAATAATCTGTCACACATTTTATTATTATGTATTATATATTGTTTATACATGCACAGACTACTGGTCAAAAGTTTGGAATAATAGTTATTATAAAGTAGTGACTTATGCTCACCAAGGCTGCATTTATTTGATCAAAAATACAATAAAACCAGCAATATTGTGAAATATTATTACAATTTAAAATTACTGTTTTCTATTTTAATATATTTTGAAATGTAATGTATTCCTATGATGGCAAAAGCTGAATTTTTACAGTCTTTTACAGTGTCACATGATCCTTCAGAAATCATTCTAAAATGCCGATCTCTCTCTTTCTCTCTCTCTCGCTATATATAGATAAATATATATACATATATATTAGTGCTGTCACATCGATTATTTGCGATTAATCGCATTTAAACATAAAAGTTTGTAAATATATGTGAATGTGTATATGTATGTATATGTATATGAATGTATATATTTATATATACACACATAAATTACATACACACACATATATACATATATTAGCGCTGTCAAACCAATCGCGATTAATCACCACGAACAAAACTTTGTTTTTATATATATATACACACACACAAACTTTTATGTTCGATATGATTAATCGGTTTGACAGCACTAATATACTGTATATGTGTGTGTGTATTTATGTGTGTGTATATATATTAGAGGTGGGCATAGATTAATATTTTTAATCTAGATTAATCTAGATTAAAATGGCTCATTTGAATTCTCCCGAAGGCATTCAGAATATGTGTGCTACCCAAATAATGACTAAAAGTAAGTCTTTGAGAATAGTTTGCCTCGCGTAGGGATGTGCATTTCTGCCAAAAATGCCATTCGACAATCGAGGAGCAAAAGTCGAATATCGTAAAAAAAAACAAAAAAAAACCGCAATGACAGAAAGGGAGGCCAATTTCATCTTTAGCGATTTGTCATCAAACAAACTGTTTATTAATTGAACAAGTAACATGTTTCGTCCTTTTTTTAACATAGTAGGCTAATTGGAAGAAGAAAAAAAAAAAAATACGCACGACAGTCCGTTTTTGCATCGCCAATGCTCGTTAGATCAAAAAATAATGTCATCATATGTCATAAGAATTTTATGTGAACCTGCCTTGTTACTGCAATAGCCTCATTTTTAAACAAATTAGTTTCAATCAATGTAAACTATTCCTGTGATTATGCCACTGCGCAATACACGCGCAATACACACACAATGTATTACCTGAATGAAATGAAATCGAATGCATCGTCCTGTGGAATCATTCATTCACAGACAGCTTACGAAGATGTTCAACTAATAAAGATCTTCATCGCTGGCAAAAATATGATGCATTTGCAGATTTGCATTCACTAGACTAGACTGTAGATCGGCCACTTCATCCAACGCTCTTGATGCTCTTAAATCTTCCTGTTTCGACTCCGAGTGTGAATTGAAAGCGCTTCAGACGATTCAGTGCGCGAGGAACTGAACAGATCAACTGATTCGCGAACCGATTTAGACAGATCATCTGACAACTTCTTTGATGAAGTCTTTGAACAGAATCGACTCAAAAGAGTGATTTATTTGTAAATGAGCATCGCTCATGCCCATACAAAGGACACAGCGCGCTTGGAATAAACTCATTTAACAACGTATTGCATTAAAATAAAGTAAGGAAAGAGAGGAACGTCGCGCAACGTAACAAAGTAAAAGTACACCTTGTGTCCCTGACAGGAAAATACCCTACTGCGCGATCTGTGACATAGGCGCGGCGTCATACTACACATTAGAATTGCGCGAAAATATAACGATATTCGAAAAAGCTATTTATGACCCCAACCCAACTTTGATTAACGGCGATATTTTTTTTATCGCCCGATAAGAGTCTCACGTTAACGCAGCACGTTAACGCCGATAACGGCCCAGCACTAATATATATATATATATATATATATATATTTACAAACTTTTATGTTCAATGCAATAATTAGTTTGACAACACTAATATATATATATGTGTTTGTGTCATATATATATATATATATATATATATATATAGTATATATTATAATTTGCATAACCTAACCTTTGCGGGCCTGCTTCTTTGAGGTTTTCCGGCAGCAGTGGCCGAGGCCTGGCACAGGTTTGATGTCGCTCTTGCTGACAGGTGGGGGGTGGAGCACAAGTTTGGGCGGGCGGGTCAAGCAGACTGGGAGTCCAGCGGCGCTCATTAGGATCCCAGTGATACCTAACCAAAGAGAAGAGAGAATTACATCTGTTTTGTATTCATCTATTTTTAGGTTCATTGTCTTTTGTTGCAAAATTATTCCAAATATGTTACTATATTTAATCATCACAGTCACTATTTATAACTCATTTGCATATTGTTTCTCACCTGCCAAAGCTGGATGGACAGGACTGGATCCATTTAAGTTCTTCACTGGGACGGTGGGGACTCTATAAAGGTATAACAAAAGAAAATAAGACATGACACATGCTTCCACTACGCAACCAACCACTCACCAATCAGAAACACACACACACACACGCACCTCAATGGTCTTACCGATAATCATAATCTTGATCCGAACAGAAATAACCATGTAGTTGTCACAGCTACACCTGATAGCGTAACACCCCTATCCTGACCCGCAGACCTGCCGAGTCATGCTGGAGTGTGTAAACCAGGTCACACCTCCTGTCAAACCCACTGCTGCCACTAACTAAACTGGCAGTGGATCAGCAGACAACAGCAGTGTCCCGCACATCAAACCCTCGCGTGCCCTGATCACCTGTTGCCCGTATGTGACGATACATAGACCGCCAATGAGTACTTAGTCAAACATTTCCATGCCATCTCACCTCAACATTACAGAACATGAGTAAAACTATAAATCTTAACCAATAGTGAGATTTTGAATGAACAAAAACTACTATTGAACAAAGACTTTGGCATATAATTACCATTAAAGGCAACTAATGTAAAGTTGTTTTTATGTTAAACTTAAAAAATAAAACCAAATGGGAATAACCATTGATAAATGACAATGTATCTATTGTTTTTTTTTTTACAATAATGGTTTTTAACAACCTATAGGTTGCAGAAAAATAGTCTAGAGAACTATTAGCTTACCAACTATTGAACAAACAAGACACCTAGAACAACATGTTCAAAGATACTCACTGTTTGACCTTGATAACAGTCATGTCTCAACTATTCCGGTGATCTCCAAAGAAAAATTTGAGTCAAAAAGGAAAAAGCGAAAGTAATGTTTGGATTCTTCTTCCCTGCGTTCTGCACTCAAACTTCTTTGAATGTTTGGCAGTCTCTGTACTCAGTCAGATTGATTTGTTTCCCCCCCTCTAGAGAGCCTGGAATCAATGTAGTTTTGTTCACATATATCCCCCGTCTCTCTCTCTGAGTTGTTCTTCCTCTGGATGAGTTTGTCTTCCCTCACTCTGTCAGCTGTCGCTCTTATAGAGCTAATCCTCGAGAGTTTCCATCTGTTGACAAGCAGCTAGGAAAGAAGGTGATCCACGTCACAGAGACCGGGATTACCTCTCAACGTCACACACTGACACACCGCCATAAGGTTCCATCACACTGGCACATAGTGCAGGATAGTTGCTCACACACACACACACACACACACACACACACACACACACACATCCACATCATGTGTGTGTCCTGCACAAGTTCAAACATTTTGGTCATATATGGGCATGCCCAGCCAGTGACTATATTGACACAGAAACATGGATATATATGGATGAATCTCACAAAACCGGGATCATATCTCACCCCAAATTCAAAAGGAAAATAAAATCAGAAATTATATAATATAAAATATAATGTACTTAAAAATAAGCATAATTATATAAATTATATATAATATATTGTCATATATAGTATAGATATATATACAAACTATATATTATGCTTATTTTTAAGTACATGATATACATTTTTATATAATATTAATTATGATTAATTATATATATATATATTTTAGTGCTGATAAATCGATTAATCACGATTAATCGCATCTAACATAAAAGTTTGTTTAAATAATATGTGTATATATTATTATATTTATATATATTTTATATATGCGTGTGTGTGTGTGCGTGTCTGTGTATATACATACACACATATATGTATATATATATATATATATATATGGGGGAAAATGTGATGAAACTGTCCTAAAAATAATGTCACATTGAGAAAAATCTTACCTGTCCCAAAAATTGGCTTAATTTTATTCTAAAATGTGACCTGGACACAATGTTATGTTTTGTTTTTGTTTTTTTGTATGTTTTCTTGCAAGATTCGCTCATACAGTATATAAACACAAAGACCGCTGGTGTGTGCCATAGTACGGGATGTTTGGAAAACATTTATGATATATCATAAACTTTATGATGCTGATAACGGAACTAGGGTAAACAATGATGTCATAATCGTCATGAACCTGAATGGCCCGAAGAGTCCAGACTAAATGTGTAAACGTGTGTGACTCTACATGCTAGCAGAAGTGTTATTAAGAGTATACAAGCTGATCGTATGCACGTCACATCAAGTGCACGGAAACCTCGAGACACAGATCAGTGCGCAGATCAGCTGACGTGTTCACGGAAAGGTGTGAAGGTACATGGTGCCACCACCAAGATGAAGAATGAGTAGAGGAGGGAGAGCAGGGAGTTGACGTGCATGTGCTGGGTGGGGGTGAAAGAAGGCGACCGGAAAATCTTCAGTCACGTTTGCTGTTGGCTAATCTAGCGGTATTAGCACAAAACCCATATGGCTGTAGGCGTAAGCACAACTCGCCTGATCAAACCACAGCCAGATGTAGCCACTTACCGACAAACACGAAGAGAGCGATGAAACACGGAAGGGAACATGTGGAGAGGAGAATCTCTAACGTTAAGGGCTTGATGAAAAAAAACTCACTGACAAGACCGTTGAACTTGATCTGGTCACAATCCTTTTTAGTTTTTAGCTTGTTTGAAGGCGGCATTGTCGACTGAATCCCATTTGCCAGCCCGTTTGTTTCATAAAACACTCTGGCACCATTTTGGCACATTTTGAAAATGAAACCTGTAAAGCTCTTTTAATATTCTTACCATAAAACAATCCAACAGAGTTCAAACTAATTACACTGGCCTCACATGATTAACCGAGTCAGCAAAAAAAAATGAAAACAGTGATTCTGTGTCGGAAAAAGGCACATTTTGTGTAACTATAATTCAAGCCAGTATCATGACAGTAATGCTTAACTGTCCTACTAATGTGCTAAAAGAAAAGAGAGTGAATCCATTGCATGAATCTAACATCCATTGCAAGTGTAACTGGAAAAGATAAAGGAGGTTTAAAGGTCAAGGGTCATATTAGTGCGAGAGAGTGACGTCAGGCTCAATTACGTCCAGCTATAGGTGCTATATGGGATCCCTGCTTTCACTCGACGCCCACTACAGACACACAAACACACCTAAAAAAAAACTGAGCATGACTGAAGATGATTTAAAAACACTCACGGGGATAAACGTGGTCCCGCTAGCCTGTGGCAGATACACAATTGAAAATAAATTCAAATATAGAACAACTAATCATTTTCACCATCAACTAAACACCCGCAAAAACTGACTGAGAAAAATTAGCAAAAATGTTTTACCTTTAGGGGTACAACAGCATGTCACTGGGGCAGTTTCCTTAAATGTGCATCGTTGTACCTTATTTACCTCTGAAAAGTTCATAGTAGTACCTTAAAGAGATAGTTCACCCAAAAAAATGAAAATTCTGTCATCATTTACTCATCCTCAAGTTGTTCCTGTATGAGTTTTTTTCTTCTGTTGAACACAAAAAAAGATATGCTGGTAAGTATGTCGGTAACCAAACAGTTGACGGCACCCATCGACTTTTTCCCCCATACTATGGAAGTCAATGGGGACCAGAAACCATATTATTAAAAATGTTTTTTATGTTCAGCAAAAGACAGAAACTTATGCAGGTTTAGAACAACTTGAGGATGAGTAAATGATGACAGAATTTTCATTTTTGGGTGAACTCTCTCTTTAAGGTACTACTATGAACTTTTCAGAGGTACACTTTTTACACCTTTTTTTTCCCTGAGTGACAGACAAATACTTTCTTCCTGACTGGGCCAAGAGTTTGTGAGACCAATCCTGACTGTTAACAAGCAAATCCTGACTAGTGACAAACGAATAAACAGTTCATTTACTCAGACTTCTAACCTTTTTAATATTGACTTGGTGATAAAATGAAAAAGATATACACGATCTAAAATGAAGTCAAATCAAACTTTACACTTTTGTCTGAATTTTAAGGTCTATAATCTAGACATTTCTCAGACTCTCCAGACATAAAGGGAGCTCCCTCTAGTGGTTTAAATATGTATATATATATATATATATATATATATATATATATATATATATAGATATAGATATATATATAGATATAGATATATATAGATATATATAAACACTCGAGACTGTATTTGCATCTCTCTGTTAATTACCACAACATTAACAACTAAACAAGCTCTTTGTTTATTTTGCAACAACAGTAATGCACTTCCATAGAATATCTATGGGGAAATACATTTAGGTGGGTTTAGGACAAGTTTTTGTATCTTATGTATTATCCATTTATTCTTGTGCAATGTCTTATGCCGACACTTTGACTTGGGTGCATTGCTGTAAAGATGATTTTTGTCTGTTTGCAGGTGAAATAATATTCTGAGGTAATAAAAAGCAGCACGAATGCTATTTAGGACCTGGAACATATCGGTACAAAAAAAAAAGAAGTATTAAATCCTGTCTATTAGCACTCCTTGACAAATTATATGATACTGTAAATATACACACTGGGGTCCAAAGGTCTCAACACGGGTGAAAATGTTTCTACTTTGCAGTTAAAATTGTATTAAAAAACATTGTTCGCTACAATTTATAGTTTATTATTTTTTCCTCTCAATTATGTCATAATAACAATATGTTATATCGTTTAAACGATCTTCTCGTAACGATGAGATGTCATGGCGTTAAAACGATATATTTTCTCGGAATTACGACATACAGTATGTCATAAAAACAATGTTTTTACCATTATAATGTATCGCTAAAACAACATATTTTGTCCCTGACATGGCAACGTGGGAAATAGGTCTTTGTCAGAGTCCGCGTGTCGTCACATCCAGCTTCGATTTGTTGCGTAATCGAATTTCCTACAGAGGCTGGGTCTACAGAGGCTGTCGGGGAGATTATTAAACAGATAAACTCAGTCCGCTTTAACAGCATCATTATGCTTATAAATGTGCTACATTTATAAGCATAATGATAGTCAAACTGAAACTGAAAGAGTTGTCAGAACCTTAGTGGTGGTGACGTTGAACTTGTGGGACCGTGGTGTAACTTAGTTCGTTTATAGC